TCCCATTTCTTTCTCTTTTTCCTACCTTCCATTTATTTCTATGTTGTCATTTATTTACATTTATTTTGAGATGATTTTCAAGGACTACACCAATTACTGAATACAGAAGGGTATTTGATAGTGGCACTCTGAGTAATTTTGCAGCTCTCCAAAAATGGCAGGATACCACTCTGGTCTTCTGTTTGTTGGGAGCATAAGCAACAAACAACTGCAGGCAAAAAATATGGCCACCCACTGAGGAGGGAGTATTTCAAAACTTAAAAAAAGTATTTAACTTCAGTGTTGATACTTGAATGTCCCAATCCTGTTTCTTTTATTTTAATCCAAAACACTACAAGTCCCTATCATGTCTATGTCTGCTTTCTCCCCAGCCCACTTTGGAGAACCCCCCCCCCCAAAAAAAAACAAACAGCAACATTTTACATTTTAAGGAATCTTCTAGGGTGATTATTACTGAATTTAATATGGTTTGGAACTGTAACACAAAATTTTTACAAGTCAAAGTAATTTTTTCTTACAGCACTTTGGGTGATTTTCCAAGCCAGTAAAAAATAGGAGATTAACAGCACTGTGTGGTGCTGTGTAAAACGCAAGAAAATACTGCACAATTTTTTCCAAAAAAATATAGCAAAGCCTGTAATTCCTAGTTTGCAACACACTAAATGTTACAATATGGAGCTATCCTCAAGTACTTAAGTAATTATAGCTTCCACTACTGCAAGCTATGAGGGGTGGTTTGTGGTCTCAAGTTCACTCAAGACAGATAAAAGAAAACTTCAAAACAGACTTATTTGTAATTGAAAAAAAGCTTCTCAGACTAGTGTGCCACTATAACAACTGTCCACTGCCTCATGGAAGACAGGCCAGCCATTAAGAGGAAGGTTTTCTTAGTCTTCTCTTTAAGACTAAAATGAGAGGAGAATAAAAAAAAACAACTAAGAGCCTTACTTAGAAATTAATTCTTTTTAGCATGACATGAAAGCCAACCTTTTCTTCTTCTAGAAGGTCTGCCATAAAATGGAAAATGAATTACAGCACATGCTCAAGGCCTCAGCTGGCACTGTCATTTTTGACAGACTCATTTTTATCCTAGAACTTGGCGCCATGCAATTTTAAAGTCTTTCCCAAAAATTATGCTTTTCTTCATGATATAGAAATAAATTACCTAAGTAAGGGATGAGGCTGTGGTACCAAATCCCTGTGCTGCCAGGAGATTGGCTAGGTCAACTAGTACGTCACATTAACAAGTAAATTTCTTGAGTAATTTATGGTGCTTAACAAGTTAAAGATATGAAAAATACATAATGCTAAACACTGCAGCCCTAAACAGCTACATGTTGTTTTTTAAAAAATAAATAATATAGAAAGCACAAACTTAAGCCCCAGAAAACTATTTTCTAATTATTTTACTAGCTGAGCTACTAATCATGCTTTTCAACCACTGAATTATGCTGTTCTTATACATTCTCAGGAAAATTGTAGCTTAGTGAGCTATAATTTTTAGATATGAACATATAACATTATCCAATATAGGGGTTATGAAATACTTGTGACTTATGATATTAGGTAAGATGACTGTAAATTCATTAGGTATTCCTTTAGAGCTCTTAATTTGGTCTGCTTTATTCATATACAGCAGAATGTCCAAACCCATCTGGCATTTCTTGTGTCCCAAAAGAGCTAATAAGCATTTGAGAAAACATTTTAATTAAAATAATAATAAAAATATAATAGTTTTAATACTAATAAGTAGTTTTTTAATCCAAAGGTTTTATTGCACACAAATTAGAACTGTATCACTTTTGTATTTTAAGAACCAATGACAAATTTGCAGCTATTTTTAGTCTGGTTTTTGTTTGTTTGTTTTGTGTCAATGTAAATTTTAATGTTATTACAAGCTGAACATCATATTCTGAGTTTTATGAATGGATCTTTAAAGTTATTCAGGAAGTAAACTTTACTGAGGATGTTGCACAGACATAACAAAACTGTTTTCTTTGAAGACTTTCTTGGGAATATATGGAAGTTTATGAAGGAAATAACTTAGAAAAGTATGTACTTTTATTGAGAGTATTTTATTCAGCATTGGTGCGGCCTTATCTTGACTATTCTGTGCAGTTCTGGGCCCTCTGAAAAGCTTTTGCTGAAAAGTTGGAAAGCACAGCTTGCTGCAACCAGCAAGCAATTTTGCACATCTCTAATCTACACACTGGACATAGGTTCCCCTCACGTTTCCTTATGAGAAAGCAAAGAAAATGAAGGATATAAGATGGTCCAGGTATCCAGGCTGGAATGAAGGGATTAAATTTGGTGAAAGGAGTTAAATCCAGTTGGCACCCAATCACAAGTGGTGTTCCCCAGGGCTCAGTACGATCTTTATCAGTACTATCTTTATCAATTATCTCAATGAGGGGATTGAGTGCACCTTCAGTAAGTTTGCAGATGACATCAGGCTGGGCAGAAATGTTGATCTTCTTGAGGGTAGGAAGGCTCTACAAAGGAATCTGGACAGGCTGGATCAATGGGCTGTGGCTAATGGTATCAGGTTCAACAAGGCAAAGTGCCAGGTCCTGCACTTGGGTCACAACAACCCCATGCAGTGCTACAGGCTTGGGGAAGAGTGGCTGGAAAGCTGCTCTGTGGAAAAGGACCTGGTGGTGCTGATGGACGGCCAGCTGAACATAAGCCAGCTTGTGCCCAGCTGGCCAAGAAAGTCAACAACATTTTGGCTTGTATCAGAACTAGTGAGACCAACAGGACCGGGGCAGTGATTGTCCCCCTGTACTTGGCACTGTGTTTAGGTCTACAAGACAGACATTGAGGGTGCTGGAGCATGTCCAAAGAAGGGCAACGTAGCTGGTGAAGTATCTAGAGAACAAGTCTTATAAGGCTGAGGGAACTGGGGTTGTTCAGCCTGGAGAAAAAGAGGCTCATGGGATACGTTATCACTTTCTAAAACTACCCGAAAGGAGGTTGTAGAAAGATGGGTGTTGTATTGAGGTAGGTGTTGTTCTCTTTTCCCAAATAACAAGTGCTAGGACCAGAGGGAATGGCTCCAAGTTGTGCAAGGGGAGGTTTAGATTAGATATTAGGAAAAATTTCTTCACTGGAAGAGTTGTCAAGCATTGCAGCAGGCTGCCCAAGGAAGCGGTGGAGTTATCATCCCTGTAGGTATTTAAAGGATGTGTAGACATGGTGCTTAGGGACATGGTTTAGTGGAGGACTTGGAAGTGTTAGCTTAACGGTTGGACTTGATGATCTTACATGTCTTTTCCAACCTCAATGATTCTATTATTCTGTGTCATGCTGCTTTCAGTATGCATTAATACTGGCAAGAGATTTGAGGAGGCAGAAAAGCTGGGGTTAAGATTAAGCCACTTCATTAGAATTTAAGTCAGGAAGTAAAATGTAGCTGAATTTGTGAACTTTACAGGTTTGACTTTACTGCTAGGGGGTTTATACTAGAATTGCCTTTGGCTGGAACTTAGGAACTTGTCTGAAACCTTTTTCCTCTCCCCCCTCACCCCACAATTTCACTGACAGAGAAAACTTTTCTATCTATATTAGCACCCACTTCCACCTGTCACTTCATCATCCATCTCACATATCTCTCCTGGAAAAAAAAGTGTTATCAGTGGTTTTGTCTTAGCACTTACATTCAGGAACAGGACTACAAACAGTATGAAAGTTTGGTTCAACAGATGGGGGAAAGAAGCCTCTACAACATCCTTCCTCTAACAGCTGAAACCTAACTGAAGGAGGCTTTTCTCTCTTCTAAATATGCAGGCTGTGAGAAAATGATCATGAGCCTAGGTAGCAAAGTTTAACAGAAGAATAAATCACAGCAGTACCTCAAATTAGGTATGGGATGAATCAACTATGCCAAAGGCTGCAACTCTAATGCTGCAGTACCCCAGGAAGTCTATGTAGAATTCCAGGAAGCCTATGTAGACTTCCAGGAAGCCTATGTCAACTTCCAGGAAGCATGTTAAGTTACAGCAATCATATATTTGCAATGGGAAATAATACTAATACAGTTCAGTATACTACAAACTAGACAAAATTAATTCAATTTGAAACACTGAGCAGGTAGTAGGCTGCGGAAGTGATTAATAAGTGACCAACATAGAATCACAGAATGGTTTGGGTTGGAAGGGACCTTAAAGATCATGTAGTTCCAACACATCAGCCATGAGCAGGGACACCTTCCATTAGATCAGGCTGCTCAAATCCCATCTATCTCCAGCATGGAGACAAAACTCCATATGCTACTGCCAAATCTCTTCATCATCCATTTTATCATTGAATGCTTTTTCAGACTCTGTAGCTGAAAGACCTAAATGAAATAAATGCCAAATTTCAACAGATCAAAGACTAATGAACTTTTTTCTTCATGAATGAAATAACCACCTGAAAAATTTTGTCATCTCCAATTACTTCGTCATCAAGATGCTGTCTTGTTATGTTACTCAGAAGGCAAAGTAAATTTTAAAGAAACAAAAAAGTCCAATTCTGATTTTTTTAGAACCAGTCCTTAGTAGTTGAGTAGTTCTTTTCACATGCTCAAAGAGATAATCCTAAAGAAGTAAGTAAATTCAAAGCATGAGACATGTAATTCATAAAGTATAGGTGACACCTCTAGCTCTGCCATAGGCTGCTACAACAATCCTGGGTAAAACACTAAGTATCTTTTTGTATTAATATCATAACTTGTGATCTAAACTACTTACAATAAAGGCTTTTTCAAACAAAGAACTCTTTGCTATCTGTTATAAAGTTCCTACTTTATTATAAGTGTTTTCTTACAGCACAGAGGTGTGTGATACTTCAGGAATGGATGCAATGTTTCACAAAAAAAATGACGCTGTCAAAAACCCTAATAACAGAAATGGCATGATAAATAGGCCATAAGCAATTCTCAGACTGAAGTCTTCCCATCCCTCTACCTCACCAACTCAAAGCACCTGGGACCAGCTCCCAGGAGCTGCTGATAAACTCACTGTCAGGGCCAGCAGTTTTCCGTAGGTGAGATGGGCTGGGATGTGGTCGCTCTTGGATCGCAGTGACTCCATGTACCAGTGCTCTGCTTCTGGCAGACGGTTCATTCTCATATAGGCTTCTCCTAGAGGGTAAAACAAATGCCGAACCCTAGTGAGAAAGTCCAGAATTTCTCAAGGCTTCCATAATTTCTAATTTGAAAAAAATTAGTAAAGGGCTTTGAACACCTACAATGACACAGAGGCTTGAGTGAGGAGATTGAGTAATTGCCTTATTAGGGCTGAAAGAGCATAGTTGAGATGAAAGTCCTGTTGGAAAAGAATTGCAAAAGAGATCTCCAGCTGCTAAGTTTCAGTCAAAAGTTTCAAAGCAACACATGTTTTATCACCTCTACTGTAGAAAAGTTACTTCTTTTCCATCAGTCTACATTGCACAGCAGGGAATGGCAGGGAGAGTACAGAACATGGTTGCATTTAATCATAATACATTAAGAACTTAGATTTTTTTAAACTAGGAAAGGTTAAGAAAACAGTCCTGAAGCTATATTGGAGGGAGAGACACTAAAAAAAGATTAAAAATCTCTGAATGTAGTCAAATTAGGTCATCTGCCACAATTCGTTTAAATTAGAATATACCATCCATAATTTTAAAATTGATAGTCTTTAGAAGTCACATATGAAATGACTGAAACTGGACATTTTTCAAAGTGAAATCCTTTAGTGTGAGAGGCTGAGGCAGGCAATGCTGAAGAACAACAAATGAATGAGATGTCAGAAAGCCACATACTGTGGTACAGATAATTGTAGACTTAAAGTTTCTGAGAAAGAATTTGGTATACAGAGAAAGACAGGCTCTTTCTCCAAGATGCAAAGGTTGAAAATAAGCAACATCAGACAAATATATAATGGTGAAGAACAGTGACTTTCAGATTCATACCTTGCATTTACACAGCTCTTTCAAAAGGGCTCTAAATAGAAATGTGCCCTTGCCCAAGCCAATGACAGACTGAAAATGCCTACAAGAGAGTCAGGATTTCATCATCTAACCAGCCAATTAATTCCAAATAAATAGTTAAGTATCTTCCCAAAATCATGAAGTCACAGTTTACCCAGTGCCACCCCTGGAGGGCCTACCCAAGTAGAGCTTGGCTAAGCTGACTCCAGGTGAGTCACTGGCCACAGTTCTGCATTATCTTTGAGCACTACCTGGAAATTAATAGCTGTGAGGGCATCAGGGAGAGATAGAAGGATGAGCCTTCTTTATTCAAGCTTGAAGCCAACTACCACACCCCCAAAAAATCAAAGCAGGAGGAGCTATGAAGGATTTTCTTGATGAAAGAAAAATGGACAAGGCCAGTTAGAGTTATTCTTTTTTTTTTTTCCTAATTCATGAGAGAATAGGGATCCCAGGCAAAATGTGGCTCGTAAGTCTGAGTTTCAGGATGTAGAGTGCAGTGCATGCAAAATGATGAAACCACAGCCTAAAGACAAAATTAGTGTGACAGAGTCAGAAGTCACGCTGAGTCAAGGTTAAGGGAAGCCAACATGAGCAAATACAGTTTTTCCAAAAAGGGGTGTAGGCCTGTAAATCTAGCAGACCAGGACTTCTAATTCAAGGATTTACAGAGCACTCTGTACTCCTGCACTGGTCGTGGATATCTGATTACATACTCAAGTAAGTAAGTAAGTACTTACCCAAGTAATGACTTGAGTAAGTAAGTACTCAAGTCATTCTACTGCTGGTTAGGGCCAAATTAAAAAGCAATTCCTCCAAAAAGAGAGGCCAAATTAAAAAAATAAAAATAAAAAAATTCCAAACAGGAAATAAATCCCAAAAGAACATGAGCACCCTCCAAAAACCACAATCACATTCAGGATATCAATGTCATATGCATTTTTTTCACTATGTCAGCACTCACAAATAAGTGACATGATACTTTCTTAAGCACAAAACAAAGACATAAAATCAAGTGCTGAAAGGATGGAAGAAGCCAGAAGTCAAGCTATATGCTGCCCTCAAATCCTCTCCCTAGGTGTATGCTTTGTGGCAGATTGTTTAATTATTTGATTGCATACTTTTCCCACAGGCCCCTGCTGCATTTAGCATACAGGAAACGAGGAATCCATGTTGTGCTTTTCTTTCAGCGGAAAATTCCAACCCAACCTGTTACAGCTTGGCAAAGTTTCAAGCAATTAAAAACAAGATCCTTTAAAAAGTAATGCAAGCAGCCATAAGAGACAAAGTTATTATCTGCTGGTAGTGTATGCTGAAAACATTGCCAAATTTCAAAAAGATCCAAGGTTCTCATCTATTTTCCATGATAGATTTTGATATAAGAAAAGATTAACATCTTAGGAGTACTGGCAAATTCGATTTTTAATAGGTTTTAAGAGCTCAACTACTTTGCAAGCTAACCTCCTAAAACTTTGAGGCCATTTCTGAGTGGTGCATCTAGAAACGAAGCAACGATACATCAATCTAAATGTCAAATTCTTGAGAAAGGCAAGTCCCCTGAAGACTTCACAGGGAATTCTCTATAGCTAAACATTTTTTTTTCTGGAGTCTGTTTTCTGCCACTGAACCCCATACCACCAAGAATCACTACATTATAAGCAACTGGAACATGTCATTACTACAGAAGGAAGTATGGTTAGGGAGTCTGTTACTAATTTCATCTTCAAACTGATTTACAATGACACTCTTATCTAAGAAAAATTAAAGCAAGTTGAAAAATGACAAAGGCTCTACTAGTGCCATACTCAAAAACTGGAATAAAATCAAGAAACTGTTAACTGAAGTGTTAATTCAGTCAAGTGATTTTATATGTTAGACTGATGAAATTTTAATAAACGCTATTCTAGTTTAAGACAGTTTTCCAACAAAATGGAAGACAACATGTATAGATTGACTGCTGTCATTTAGGGGTCATTCAGGATGCATCTGTATGTCTGAGATTAAAATAAGAAAAATAGTATTTGACATTTACAGTCATGTATTTTTATAAACTTGCAACATGAATGATTTCATCATTAGGAAAATAATAGTGTCTGTTGGTAGAAAATATGCAAATCAATGATATACGTGAGCAAGTTTCCATATTTACTTTAACAATTAATTTATAAAATCTTTCAAAATTCATGCTCAAAATCCGAAAGATCACACACACACAATTTCTTAATCAAACTAGTCAGATCTATAAAGTTCAGCAGAGGCAAGAACAACAGAGAAAGAAATTAATTTCAGTGGAAAACTTGGGACATAAATTGACAGTTATTGCAGCTCCCTAATCCATATCAACATGCAACCGTTTGCAGCACTGCCTGCACAATGAGTGGTGGTAAGAAATCCAATAGTCAACTTGAGTAAAAGGGGACAAATCAGTAATTCGAAACTGTTTCCATTTTTCCAGGGGTTCGTTCAGCTATATATTCTCTGGGCTTTATGCACCCATTTCTTAGCTTATTCTACAAGGAAGAACACAGATTATTAAACTGTAACTCTCATTTACAGATGTAGTGTAAGAAAAACATTAATATGCAACTGAAACACTACTAAAAGGACATAGTTCATTACATCTCTGCTAATACTTATGACAAAGTGAGTAAAGAGCTACCTTTTAACTAGACTTATACCAGCACAATTAAGATCCTGGTACTCAGGATCAGGTGGACTTTTATTTTTTTTCTTGCCATAGGAATAGATCAGCTGCAAGACTACCATTCTCCAAACAATATTTTCCCATATTTTCCCAGAATCCTTGAAATTAAAAAATTAATCTTTCAAAATAAACAAATCAAACAAAAAAAAAATCCAACAAATTAAACCAACACTAAAAATATCCCCACTAAAATCCCAGGACAAATTATTCCTAATTAGAAAACAATATCAATCATATTAAGAATTAATTATGTATATCAAACAATAATGTTAACAAAGGATCGGTTTGCTAGCAGCTATTTCCCCTGGAAGACCAACTTCTTACTTGATAATGAAGGGGAATGTGATTTTAATACAAATCCTAGAAAAAAGAAGACACAAGTTAAATTTTTCTAATACATACCACATGTTGTTAAAAAGCATGTTTAGGTACCATTTACATGGATGTGTGTTACATGGTTCTAGAGCAACCCCTCATCTGCTTTCATATTTGTTCTGTTTCAGATGCATGATGTCATACCAAGCAAAGGCCATTTCCTTGCAGGGATCATGTTAGACTTATCAATCAGCAAGTATAACAGAACATTGGCTGTAATAGCACTATGCCTCTTTAAGTGTCATGTACCCATACTTGCAGATTAAGAACATATGTTGCTTTATGATCTTCCTCTTAGGACCCCAAAATATATTGCTGAAAAGACAACTGAAAAATCATCTCCGTAAAGAAGGCAATACAGGATAAACCTGTCCTGAATCATACTTGTATCTGTTAATTATCTGCCACTCAAATTTCTGGATGTTAAAAATGTAATATAGAAAATACATAATTTGGCACTGACAAAAGCAGATGTCAAGACAGAGAGGAACATGAAGATGCACTTTGAAAACAAAAATTTCTAACACATACATTCAGTCAGGATTTAAATTTTATTTTTCCATCATCTATTTGAATTTGGAACAGAAACAGGTTGCCTTAGAAAATGATGGAGAGGTCTGAAACCCTGTGTACAAACCCCTTCCACAAGGGGTTTATATCTTTCATAATGCAACTGTGCAGCTTCCGTGCTCAAATCAAGGCTGCAGATGCACTTACCATAAATGCACCTGTCTGGATACATAACTTCCTTCTTTTTTTCCCTTAGGTACCAGCACATACAATAACAACAATAACACAATAAATCTAGAAGCATAGTTTTATATTAGACAATACTATACTGATGTTTAAGATATATTGCAGAAGATTAACAGTCTTGGTGATAAATATGCAGTGCATGTATATCTCTGCAACAGCTGAAGCATGTAAGTTTAATGCGCACCAAGTTCTGCACAGACTGAAAATATTCTGTTTGTTTTTTTTTTTTTCCTTTTACAAAACAATCTCCTTGAAGATTTCAAGGAATGTATTGTATTCTAAGAGAGCTTTTGATGGATGGGAGTCAATCCAAATTTACTATGGTTGAGCAGTTT